GACCAGATTTGAGGTAGTTCTCGTGTTTCTCGATCGTTGAAGAAACTGAGAGCAATGAAACGCAAAACAAACAAATTCTTGTGTGTGATGAGGAGACTGTTCTGGTGTATACTTGGGCAAATTCGGACCCAGATAAAATGCATCACCAACATTTCCGTAATCAAATTGATATAAAAACGCTTTACCATGAGCTGAAAAACAACATTAGAGATGGAACATCCTTATTAATTGAAAAACTTTAGTATTATCGAGTTCATGAAAGATCGTTCATATAAGGAAATTTTGTTAAAGTGCATAAAGGCATTACTGAAACCTGTCAAACTGTTGTAATGGAATTCAAATGAGCAATTTGTGGATAAAATTGTCAAATTGAAAACATCCAAACAGATTAAGTGATAGCAGAGCTGTTCTTAAAGGAACGGTGGTGAGTTAATGAGCGAGATTTCGAGGGTTCATATGAATCTTCAAACGAATTTCCCACAAAGATGTGTAGTTTTGATTGCGTACCTCTCATTATTGATTCACTGTAGAGAACTGCGTTGACGAAAAATGCTGGATCGTCGAAAATGTATGCCGTTTTGGATGCTGAAATTATTGAAAATGTGCAAAAGAAGAGATACTAGAAAAACTGAATCATACCAACTGAAAAACATATCAGTAGTCTAACGGTCATTTTAGTTTCATTCAAAATATTCTTTTCAAAATGCGTATCATCCTTTTCATTACTTCATCTTTGTCGTTTTGATGAGAAGCAAACTTCCTGGCGTGGAAAGTTTCGATTTAAAAAAAAAACCATATTTTAGCGATTCGACAGTGACAATGGGAAGAAAATGGAATAAAGATCAGTAAAAATGATTGATAGAATGTGATACGTTGAATATATTCTATAGTGCAAAGTTGAGTTGGTTTGCGTTGAGAGCGATAACCGAATAGTCTAATGGCAGTATTACAAGTCACGAAAACGCCCTTTTTATCAACTGTACCATCGTCACATAATAAATATGCCGTATCCTGCATTTCTTTTTTTACTGTTCCAATCATCATCCTTATTGGTCGAATTCTTTTTAGCAAGTCATCGATTGGTTGTGGTAGAACCTGTTCGAAAATGCAGTTTTGAATACTGTCATATTTAATTCTGGAGAGAAAAAAACATGGATTGATCAGTTCTGGAGGAAATGGAAGTAAAGAGAACGTAAAATTGGATATCGCTATGAATGAGAAGGTTTAGGTGGTTAAATTCCAGTTCACAACTGAATAAAAGTGATTGATTGGGAAGTGTTAAAACCGTGGAGTCAGAATTTACGATGAAATGACTGACTCTGAGGCTCATTTCCATAAAAATACCAACTGATCTAAGGTTAGCAAATGCCGTGTTTGACTTTGACCTGTTTAACGGAATATTGGGCAATTGATTTCAATAAAAAACTTGAGATCGTTCTTTCATCAGAATGAACTTAACAGAATCCTTAAGAATCCTTGTTTAAAAATATTTGGTTTCTTTCGGAACAAACCCTACGAGCTGTTACTAACTCCATTGTGACCATCAACGCATGGCCCTGCGAACATGAATCCATCTTCTTCGATATTCCTTTGAATATTGATCAGTTCTTGTGCATCCATCTTCCTCAAGCAATTCAGCACCGTTTCAAATTCTTTCAAATTTTCATTGTCGAAAGTTTCATCAGCACAGCCGGTTGCCACAGCGAAACGTTTACTGACACGCTCGCCATTGATTGAAGAAGATCAGTTTTTGAAACGCATAGACATCCCGAAAGACCTATCCTAATTGTAGGTATTATCAAGATAAAACGATATGCTTCAATATCAGGTGAGGAATCAAATTTGCTTGTCAAAGATAAGATTGCGAATAAATTTCTATTGGAAAAGTCAATGTTAAAACGTTTACGGTAACCATCCGAAATTGCATTCATATTTCTAAATGTAAATCATTTAAGTGGGCGAGATTCACTGAGTTATTCGTGTTGTCGAAATAAAATTTCCTGAAAATATCCTGGAATTTGAGCTACATCACTCTTTCTCATCATTCAAGGGTTTCCCCGTGAAACTGCCAATATCTGCCAAAGCTGGGAATTACTTGAAACGATAGACAAAGCAGGCAAAAATTAAATTTTGATCTTCAACCATTCATTTGAAATCGATAGTTTTCCAATGCATTCGTGTGATTGTTCAATTGTGAGTCAAGCAGAATCGAAACTACTATTCCATGTCAACAGCAAAATGCATTTCGTACCTGAAGATGAGCACAGTTGCGAAATCGAAATTCATTTATTAAACAATTTGTACAAATAAAAGATCTTCTTAATTTATGTATAT